CCAAGGGATTCTGGGGATGAAGCAGAGGGGCAAACACCTGCAGGGGAGAGACCAGCACCAGAGGAGACAGACAGGGCAGGTGTGTAGAGGGAGGTTTTAGGAGAGGGGATGAGGAGGGGTAGCTCACACGATCAGAGTGGGGCTACTGGAGGAGTGGGCACAAGGCGGAGAGAAGGACTAGCGGAGGGGGCAGGTCGCAGGAAGGCTGAGGACCGTGAGAAGGGCAGGAGTCAGGACGGCAGAGGATGAGGAGTTGGGAGGCAGCAGGCACCAGGGGAGATGATGAAGCAAGGAGATGAGACATGGCAGCAGAGAGAAAAGGTAGGGGTTTATAAGATACTTATTAATAACCTGGGTGATATTTAATAACTTATTAGTAATTACTGTTCTTTTTATTAGGAATGTTTGCTATTAAAAAACACTTTTTGTGAGGGAGGGTGGCGAGTCCCTTTTTTGTCTGGCGAGTAGGGTTTTCCATAATTTGTCGACCCCTGCTCACTGGGGTGAGACAGGATGTGTGGGCTCTGGGGTGAAAATGAGGGATTTGGGTGTGGGAAGGGGTGAGAGGCGCAAGCTCTGGGAGGAAATCTGGAAGCAGGAGGAGGTGAGGAAAGGGGATGTTGGGTTGAGGCAGGAGCTCCAGTCTGGGGAGTGTTGGGGTCAGATGAAGGGTTGCAGTACTAAGCAGGCATTTGGGTTGGGGTCTGTGAGGGGCTCAGGGCAGGGGGTTTCAGCGTATGATAGGCTCAGGTCTAGAGTTTGGAGGAGTGTGACAATGCTGTGGCCAGATGGGGGGTTGGCCGCAACTGGTATTTTTTTTGGCCAGCCTTCATTTTTAAATAAAATACTATGTTAAACACAAAAAGTTTCTACATTGTCTTTATTTATGAGAAGGGCAGGGAACCTGTTTTGGGTCAGGGGGTCACCGTCCCACAGAAAAGTCAGTTGGGAAAACACAGGAGATGCAAAAAAAAAAAAATAATAATAATAAATAAAAACTTCTCCCAAAAAGCAGCCAAATCTCACTAATGTGGCCCCAACTGTGCTGGAGGGAGCAGGAGACATGGTACTGGGGAAGGGTGCTAGTGGGTGCTGGGGCAGGGGACAAGAATGCTGGGGTGGGAGCAGGGTTCTGCAGCTGGGGGGAGGGCAGAGGGTTCTGCAGCAGGGGACAGGGTGCCAGTGGGGGCAGGGAATCCCCACCCCCAGCCTCCTCTTAGGACTCTCCCCCCCCCCCCCCGGGAGAGGAGGACAGCCCCCGCACAT